TCCCTACATAAATAGACGGTTAACTTACCTTGAGAAATCCCCTGTTGAGACACCTTGGGGAACCACTCTTCTCATGTTAGTGTTACAGGTGTGAAATCTTTCCAACTGCACGGTCTGAGTCTGCAGAACAACATCTCTCTCTGTCTGTTCCAGGTACTCTGAGTATTACAAAAGTCCAATGGAGCAGATGCATGAGCGCTGTGAAAACTACCCTCCCTGTGATTATCTCTCTGACCAAATAGGATTTTACATGGCCTACAACCGTTTTTTTGGGAGATAATAAGGATGGGATGGTCACTTCATTTATTTTGCCTGGGACAGCTCTGAACCTCCCAGTAAAAAGAAGGTTGTGGGCTGGAAGAAGGAAAGAAAAACATCTTGACTGGGGCCATCTTTCATTGTCCTCCTACCCTGCTGGAATGCCAAGGCAATAATTACTGAACTTGTTGAGCTTGCATTAGTCCTCTTCCTTTCACAAAAAAGATTTCTCTTCAGTCATCTTTTGTGGTGTTTTAAGCTTCACCAGAAATGACTGAGAAGACTCTACTTTCTCTCCTCTCCTTTGAATCCCCATGATGCAGTAGGTAAAAACCCTGTCATTTCTCTCAAGAAAATCAATGTATGCCTTAAAAACATAACAAGACCTTTTATTCTCCTCCACAAAATGCAGAAGGATTATAGAAAGAGAATATCATGTCATGTGTAAATGCAACAGATACGGTCCTGGGATGCTCATTGGGAAGACGGCAGAACAGCTGCCTCCTGGTAGTGGGAAAGTTCAGTATTTTCAGGTAGTATAATCACTCTAAATATGTGCCAGTGTAGGATCATTTTATAAAGACAGAAGTGTGGAAATACTATTACATAGCCAAAAATCAGGTTCTGGTACACTCTTCTGATTATTCTGTCACAAAATTTGCCTGTAGAGCAACAACAGATAAATCCCAAAGAGTGTGTTTAAGGACTCCTTTTAGCTAGCACTTCCATTGGTGTGCTGCATCCAGCGACTGCCTCTGAAGAGGAACTTGGCAATTTCTGTTGCTTTTGTTACACTTGGTTTCTGGTGAACCTGAATATACACAAACAGAATAAAAATGTAATCTGTTCCTTCCATCTCACTCACATCTCTCCCATATACACAGACATAATAATATATGTGCATTTATAACATATCCCCTTCCCTCTGCACTACTTCATTCTGTCCTCTGGTGTGAATGTTATATCTTAGCAGCTTTCTGTGCACATCCTCCATGTGTGTTGTGAGCTTTCCTCCCCTGGGAGGCAGACTGTGTATCCCAGCTCCGGGGACCAGGACAGCTGACCCTCAGGAGAGTGAGGAAGAACAAACCTCTGTTTGCATGTAAGCTGCTGCAGCCAGCCCCAGCTGCTAACTGCAGTAAACACTGCTGCCTCTCTCTGTTCCTCTGGACAACCTTCATCTGCAGTTAGGGAACCTAGAGGATAAAGCCTGATCCTGTGAACCCTGAAGAACATCCAGGATCCAGGTGTGTGAGTCTTCCTCCTTCCCCCTGTGCCCCAGTGAGAATCAGAAGTGACTACACTGAAATTAGGTCACAATCCCAGTGCACCATGACAGTGAGGGAGAGGAGGGCCAAGCTCTTCTTGATTTGCCATCTACCAAGTTCAGCGTTTCTCTGAAAGACCTTGCTCTGAAATAAGGACAGAGGAAAAGTTCCCAGAGGTGGCTGTCGGCGTGAGCGTCTCTTGTTTGGCAAGCTGCTATGATCTGTGCCAGCTATGCTGACCTTAGCCAAGGAGAAGACAGTTAATAAGTACCTCTGCTTGTTCTGGGCAAACATCTGGGACTGGTTACTCCATTGGCATAAACTGTCAGGGCTTTGCTGCTCACAGCAAAACTCTCCTCTGAACACCATCTAGTAAAAATGAGCAAAGTGCTCATAGAAAGCAGTGGAAATTTTGATGGGGAAAATACTAGACAGATTAGTGAAATCCTAGTACCTGCTGTAGTAACAAGTTAGTTTTGTTGTTGTTGTATAATTTTGTCAGCCCAAAAAGAAAATCAAGCTTCCTGTCTGTATTTGCATCTTTCTGTTACTGTTATATTTTCCTCTCCCTTTCAGTAAATAATTTTTTTCTTTTCAGGGAAATTGCACACAAAGACCTCGATCATGTCATCTACTCTCTGTCACCAGGTTTTTAGTTACAAATTTACTGTTGGAGTGGAGGAGCTCGATCTTCACCTGGTTAATGCAGATTTTAAAGACTCCTACAAGTCCTGTGCTGCCATCTTATGGACACTGTATTTATTGTACTTAATAACACACTGTTCCTTTTGAAGCATTTGAAAAACCAAACCCAGTGGGCTTTCTTCCCCATTCATTTCATCCTAAGTGAATACATACATACATACACTAAAAGGCCAGAAAGGAAAAATAGGGACAAAATATGCAACTGGATCATATGCAGCTGAGCTGATATTTTAGTTGGGCTATTTATCCTGACTGTCAAGTTCCCACTGGAATCTGTCGGTTTAGCTCCTTTTTATCTCTACACAGACAGCAGAGGAGATGCCTCTGAATAAATTCACAAGCCCTTCTGTGTGTGCCCCCACTTTTAGCAGCTAAAGAACTGCTTTCTGTAATACAACCCAAAAAGACAGAGCAATTCCAAGAAGGAGAAGTAGACAGGTTGTATTTATCACTTTGCATCATCTTTCATGTCATCATCTCGTATCACCAGTGACTGCAGATGCTGTCAGCAGCAGCTGCCGGTGTGGTGTTACAGTTCACTTTTAAAAGGAACCCAATACGAGCCCTTTATGTTGGCTCTCACTCTATTTCAGCAATATTCGGCAAATACTCTCTGCACAGAATTCAAGCAACTGCGCAAATGTCTCCTTTCTCAGGGAACCACACCACAAGTGCTCCTCACCCCCCAGCCTATCACTACCGGGTGGTGGAGAATGGACTTCACGTCTCTAGAGTCAGCACAAGGCCCTGACACCTCCTTTGGGCTCTTTCTGCCATGCAGAAGAGCCGTGGGAGGCCACGGGGCTCTGCAGGTCATTAACTCACTGCTGATATTTGCAAGGCTGACTGGAAAGCAGCTATGGAGAGGGCTTAGTCTCAGCACAGACTCTGCCTTCACTCCCTCGCTTTGAGCACACTCAGTGTAAACAGTTCATCACGATGCCACTGCAGCGGTGTAAGGGCAGGATGGATAGGACATCAGTAGAAGCTGGGGGAGATAAGGAGGAGGAGGACAGTTATCTCTGCTTCCAGATGGGATTCCAACCTACCCTGCATTTCTGTGTTAGCTTTATCAGAGCTCTGCACTTCTTTAAAAGGGCTTCTTAAACTCTTGACCAGGGAGTGCTCTCCACCTCATTCTGACATATCACTCCTCAGGGGAGAACTGCCTTAGTCTTCTCCAAGCCAAGGTTTTCTTCCTTTTTGCAAGAACTAAAACACCAGATACCTTGGAATTAAGAGAAATGTCAAAGTGAAGGACACCTACACCAGACGGAATTGTTGCAGCCAGACCTTTCCTTATGGATAGTGGGCACACTTGTACCAGGAGAGTGTCTGTTTGGATTGATTAATGACTTCTGAATTGTTCTAAGAATCGGGTGAATGATCTTTGGTTGAAGAATTGTCACCAAAACCCAAGTGCAAATCACAAACTTCAGAATTTTCCAGTTCAAGAAAAAAGGGAAGGAAACAGATGTTAATGACCTCTACTTGAGCAAAATTTTCTTCACAGTCTCTTGGGTGGACTCTGTGATGCCAGCACTGCTAGCCAGCCTTCTGTTGTTGATCCTCTCACAAACACTGGTAAAAGGGGTAAATATTGTTCTTTATTTGAAGTGGTGAAATTGCTTATCCCACTGAATTAAACGCTTTTTCTTTTTTTTTTTCCTTTTTTTTTTTTCTATTTGAAACGTGTTCCTTAAAGACCTTTGGATTCAGTTTTAACTCTTCTGTTTTCAGTGGCTCAGTTCCATTTCTTAGCCGTCCTAATTCCTTTTAACTACTTGGTTGGAAATTTCCTCTTGTTTGTAGCCAGATGGTTCCCCAGGGTGTGTTTGTCAGTAGGTCTCATAAAACTGTTTGTCTCCTTTTCCAGCTTGTGTCAGTTGAGGCTCTGACAAAATCAGTGTGGTTTTAGATGGGACAGTAACAATATTGCTCTGTTTCTTGTGATAGCCTTTTAGCTTTTCCTCAAAGCAATTACAGTATCATGGAGAAATAAACTGAATCCATGTATAATTAACAGGCCAGTGTAACTTCAGAGGCTATGAAAAGTATCCATTTGTTTTTGTGTCTAGGATGAATATTTGAGATGGAGTGAATATCTATTTGTAGAATTCTACTATCAACTGACCAGAGTACTTGACTAGTCTACTAGGAGATCAAAAAGCAATCAGAACACCACCATAACTCACACCATTTCTTGGACCTTATTATGCAGGTTTTCCTTAATTAGAGATACTAGAGAGCTAATTAGTGTGTCGTTCCATAGACAGCATATATTTGAGGCTCTGTTCCTCTAGCTCAGTAAATCCTTACTCATATGTTTAATGCTTATTTACACAAGTCCAGCAGGCCTCACTGAGACAAACTGGATGAACAAAAGTTTTGGCACACTGTTACTATGTTGTCCTTTAGTGAATATCATTTCCTGGAGCTAAAATATGTCTGAGAGGTATGACAAGAGAGGAAGAAGGAATTGACCACTGAAACTGTTCAGGGTGCACTAGCACATTGTTTTGTTTATTTGTTCCCTCTTCAAACCCTCTTATTAATCATGAGCAGAATATTGAAATAAATGGACCATGGGTTTGTCCTGCAGGTTCTAAACCCTCACCCTTTGAAGGACCAACTCCCTTGAAGTTTTTAGTCCCACATCAGATAAGAACTCTGGCATCCTGGCTGTCATTTGCCTGAGGTGGGGTTTGGACAGTAATCGGGGGTTGTTCAGGAAAGTCTAGGCAAAAATGCCTACCTGCTGTGCTTGTTCTGCCAATCATCACATCATCATCATCATCATAATAAGGGTAGGAAAACACTTGGCTTGCATCCATAGTGGTACATAAAAAGTTCACACTTCTGATGCTAATATTTGTTGGCTTTTATGTTGCAGACTGTGTCCCAGCTCATGATGGATATGGCTCTGCATGCCTTTGATGACCAGTATCTGGGGTGCAGAGAGCAGGTGATGGAAGAACTGGAGCAAGGAGACTATTTCCAAAAGGAGATAGCTGCTAACAAGGACTATTTGAGTCTCTGGAAGAAGGCTCAGAAGGCTTTGTTAAAGAGCCCTGTGGGTCTCCTGAGGGAGATGCAGGAGAGCCATGCCACAGTCCTCATGGCTTACACTATGAACTCTTCCCTGCACTCTCATCTGAACTTGGCCACATCTACAGCAGGAAGCTCTCCAGAGCACTACAGACACAACTTCAGCTTCAAATATTTTCACTTCTACCTAACGACTGCTATCCAGATACTGAAGCAATGGCAGAGCAGCACGGAGAGCAGGGGGCAGCCCGAGTGCCAGCGGGTGTACAGGGGCATGCAGCACAGCCGTGTCGAGGCGGTGGCAGGCAGCCGGGTGCGATTTGGCCGCTTCACTTCCACCTCCCGCCTCTGGAATGAAGCCCAGAAGTTTGGGAACGAAACTTTGTTCACAGTGACCACATGCCTGGGAGCAGCTGTGCAAGGCTTTTCTTACCACCCATCTGAGAAGGAGGTCCTTATCCCACCGTATGAGATGTTCCTTGTCCAAAGCTTCTCTCGGACACGGGGAGGTCACCGGGTGCATCTGCACTCTGTGGGCAGCTACAGCAAGTACCACTGCCAGCTCCTGGCAGGTACTGGGCGCAGCTTCCTGGGCGAGGGGTACAGGACAGCCTGGTCTCCAGTACTCCAAGCAGCCCTCACCAGCTGCTCCTCCGTGGAGCCACACGCGAGCCCAGCTCTGTAGTTTGCCCATGGCCCAGCCTTTGCCTGTTAGTCCTGAAACTTGGGAGCACCCCACAGCTCGCTAAATAGGAATCCTCCTCATTTGTCCCACTACTGCTCTGGCAAGCTCAGGCAGTTGCAGACAAAGCTACTGTTGCTTTAGTGGTGCTCTGTCCTGTGACAAAAGGGAAGCAAGCTGTTATTTGGGAAAGCACACACTGTGAGTTTCCTGGCTGCACAGCTAACTCTCTGCTAGAAGCCCTCACTGGGCCTGTTCCACATCCCTGTCCTTCCACGAGTCCACCATCAATACAGGTCTCTTGCTTTTGTTTCTGTGGACAATAGTGTGTCAATGCAACCTTTGAACACAAAACAATCATTCAGGAATGAGCATTTGTGCTTGGACCTAAGCCAAAGTACTAGCTAGAGCAGAAAAAATGGCTCTTCTGGGCAAAGGCTATGTTAGCAAGTGGAGGAAGCTTAAGGCAGCCAAAAGAGGTCTACATGATGGCTCTCTTGACTTTCTTTCAGCTTCAAGAGCGAAGAACAGTGCTTCTGCTGCCCTCGCCTCTGCAGTTCTTCCTGCTGTAGCTGGAGTTTTCCTAGGCTTGGCCCACAGTGACTGATCCTCTAGCTGCATCCAGATACATATCCTTGAATAGCAGGCAAGAAGAATTCACAGGAAATCAGCCTCTGGAGTTCCTGTTGTGGCAGAAGGTTCAACCTTCCCTGTGCTTTCAGCTGCAGCTCTCTAGCTGAGAGTGGAACATTCAAGCTAGTTCATCAAAACAGACCTTCCCTGGATGCCTTCAGGTAGGAGGCCATGTATCTGTGGCCTTTCTGAAGAGTAAGGCAGTGACATCCTTCACTGTAGGTGGCATTAGGCATTCAGGAAAGACACACATGGACTTTACAGATGTCTTAGTACCTTTACTTTTAGGGACAGTCTGTCTGTGGGATGCACAAGGCACCATGGTGGTAAAGTTAAGTGGGCAATGTGCAGCTTTGCATATCTCCTTTGAGTGCAGGGTCCCAGGGGACAGTAAAGTCTGTAACAGTTGTTATGCTGCTGCATAATGGTCTTTCCCCACTGCATGACCCTCTGCATCAAAGCCACAGCTCTCTGCATCTCACACATGGGGGACAAAGGCAGAAATCTGCCTTGAGACATGAACTTAGCAGCTGAAGATGATGAGACTTGTCAGTCTTGTCTTCAACTTTCATGTTCAGCTTTAGCATTTCTTGTGAAAAAGAAATCTTCAGGTGTTAGCAGATTAAATGGAGCAGCTTAAGGCTCCGCAGCTTGTGTAACAGACGTAGGTGTCTGTAATGGCAGAGGTCATCATCTGATCATCTCAAACCTAGTAACATGTTCTGTGAAACTAAACTACTGTCCCTGCAATCCTGAGACATGCTTGCACAGGCAGCTAAAACAGATTCAATACAGAACTATTTAGCTTGTTTTCCAGCTATGTATCTGTGTTACTTTCTTGTTGCTCTCGGTTTACTAGTGATTTCAAACCATAAGTTGTCAGAATTTGATTTTGACTTCTAAATGCTCAATGCTAAACCCAGATTTAAAAAAAAAATTAAAAAAAGAAGCAGCTTCTGCAGATATTTGTATGAGTGTTCTAACATGCTTAAACTCTTTTCTATGTAAAAATTACAGGAATCAAGATGGATTTCTGACATATCAGCACATTTATGTCTCTTTCTTCTTATCTGTTATTGAAGGGATGCAGGCTTCAACCATGCTAACAAAGGTTTGGAATCCTTCACAAGGTGGCTTCAGCACCCTGAAAGCCTCCTCTAAGGAGTCAGCTGCTATTTTCAGGCTTTTCTTTATGCATACATCTCCTTCAAGGACACAGGTAGCCTGTAGGAAAGCAAGAAATGAAGAAGATGAGGGTAGAGAGTGAAGCTCAAGCTGTTGGGATGTTCCACTTAAGGAGGAACTGCCTTCTGTGGTACATGGTGTCTCATCTAGTTGCAGCATCTTTGCGATCTCAGCATAGTCCAGGATAAGTTCTGATACTTGGAGGGATAAGGCAGGTGAACTCGATAACTGATGAAGAGCAGACTCCACTGTGTCAGGGAAATTGTCATGCTCCAGCATCACTGAAACGAGCACAGCCATGATGCCTTCTACAGCCCTCTTGTAGCTCTGGTAAAGCTCCCTCACGGCGGCGATCCTGTCCTGCAGGGAGGTGCTGGGGCTGGTGAGCCCCGTGGGCAAGCCCTGGCTCATGCACTCCTGCACAGCCCTGGCCTGTGTCCCCACGGCAGCTTGCATCTCCTTCAAAGCCCTGACCAGGAGCTGCAGGTTCTCCTCAATGCTCAAGTGCTCTTTTAGTGGCAGGATGGGGAAGCTGGTGCCAAGATGCGTGTTGAGGAGCCGGAATATTTTGTTGGTTGAAGACAGGTAGAAGTAGAGCAGGTCATGCAGCTCGTGGCAAGCCCTGAGCAGCCTCTCTTTGTCACTCGTAAACACCAGGCCCGACAACATTCCTGGAGTGGGAGTCTGACTCTGAAAAGCAAACAGAGGAAATCCAGGAGACACGGAGGAATAAAACTGGATGTACTTTCAGCCAGAATGTTCCATTTCTGAACCAAATATTACAAATTATCAATCCACCTGACCCATCATCCTCCCAAGACATTACAGCCAGAACACAGAAAAAGCTCTTTGATAGCCTTTGCAGGAGGCTCACCAAGCAGGCCAGCAAAACATGGAGTAAACAGATGCAAGTACCATTACTCTTGCTGTAACTGAATTATTCTTGACTTTTGGTGTCTATTGGGAAAATTTATGGGAGTTCTAGCAAATAATCTACCTTGAATCATCCTTAGAACTATAATTCTTCAGTTTGTATATACTGGTGAGTCTACATAAAATTAAATTCTTATTCTGCTGGGAGACAGAGCAAAGTCAAATGTATCACACATCTGCATTCAAGAGATAAAGCAACTAAGGCTGAGCAATTCAGTGTTTTATCAAGCTACAGTTTCCTATAGAAGTGACTCACATCTGTCAGTTCATACAGCAGCTAGATCTTGCAAGAATCCCTTGATAGGTGGAAGCACAAAACATCCTCTGTGGCTGGACTCCTGTCTTGCTACCGTTTTGACTACTAAGGAGGTTATGTCCTCCTGCTTGCACCTAAGAGTTCTCACAATGTCAACAGCAGGCACAGTCCTGGGACAGCACATGGCTGAGGAACTGCTCCTGATCTTGCCTTTGCTTGTGCCAGAGCCCTGGGAAGCCAGACTGGTTGCAGCAGACATGTTTCAACAGCTATGTCCTGTGGTTAGATGTGCAGTTAGACCTGTCCAAGCAGTTGTAACTTCCCATCCCACTTCAAACTTTTTTAGACTTTTTTTCTCAGTGCTCAGCTTAACCTTCTGTCTCTTCCTCCCTTCCCTTCCCAGGGCTAAAGTGGTCCGAAACTGTGTGAAATTGCACAGTGGATTTTAACCTCCACTGCTGTTCAGCCAGAGCTGGCTCTGGGGCTCTACACCATTTCTTCCACCTCTCATAACATCAGAAGAGAGGACTTGGCAAATCGCGGCCGAGAGGGGTGGCAGGCACTCCAGAGCCCTTCCTTCCAACTGGTTATGTCTGAAACTATAGCTATTAATTTTCCCTAAAGACCTGGAGTAAAGCAGGAACAAAAGTGCTTAGCTATTGTTTAAATTGCTTTCTGTCATGTTCCAAGTGATAGAGACTCTACAAAATAAACATTTGCATCTGCTGCAAACCCTGAAGACCTGCTATCAGTTTCCCACCTACAGAATGGGACAGAGGCAGATGCCAGCCTGAACAGTTCAATTCAGTCCAGGGCTGGAAACAGTATTTCACAACTACATGGCATTCTCTGCTAATAACAGGAGTCCCAACGACTGCAGAAATGTAATCGCTAAATCATTACTGTTCTCTCTCAGCTCATCTTCTCATGCCTACAGCTCTGAAAACAAGGAGAGTTTGGTCCTCTTGCTCTAGGTTGAATATATTAGCTCAGCTTTCAGGGGAAAACAAGCTGGCAATTGCAGAGTACTCATTTTATGCTTGATCTTCCACTTCCTTCTGAGAACCAAACCATTCTTTACTGGGAGGTAGCATTCATGACCAGAGCTAGTGAGCATCAGGTCCATCTTCCTAAAGATCAGAGCACGAAAGATGCCTACCTTCGATGAAGGCAGAAGTACAAGCTTGTCTTGCTGGGACAGACAAAGCCTGTTTTCACTGTCTGTGCTATGTATTTTTCTACTTGTGTGGGACTGCTCCACTCTTCTTCCATAATTTGCAGGTGTACAAAGCCAGCCATGGCAACAATTCATTATTTCAAGGTATAGCTGCAAGCATTAGTATTTATCGTTTACACTTATAAACAATAGAAATTGATAAATCCCAGCACGAAACCTAATCCTGTATCTGTATGAATGAAAAATGTTGTTCTACATGTTTTATATCCATTTATATTCATATTAACAGCAAGTAAGAGCAGCCCCTTTCAGCCACGGCTGCATGCACCTGTGACGGTACCCTTGTCATAGGCAGGAGGATTCGTGCTGTACCCATTCTTTCCAGGAACTGGTCTTTAGAGGATCTAACAATTGGGAACTAGCATTAAATAAACTGAAATCTGCTAAAATTGGAAGGAAAGGGAAAGGATGAAGAAAAAGAGATGAATTTGGGTAAACATCACACAACAGAATGACAAGCAGACAGGCAGCAGGACCCAGCTGAAGGCCAGCCTCTGAATTCCTAACTCATCACATGCTGCTGGAAACCACCAGAGGAACACAGGGGAAAGAGGATGAAGTCACTGTCCCATACACGTCTCAGCTGATTGCAGGAGCACTCAAACAAAATCAGGTAGGCAGTCTAAATGTTTAATTAGAAAAGTTTCTGGAGAAAATCTCCCTGAAGCTGGAGAAATAGAAATAAGGAAATATCTGTGGCCTAACTGTAGAAAGCAAATTTTAAAACTAGCAGAAATGTTAATGTGAAGACTAAAAGGTAATTTTAGCATTAAGAAACATAAAGTCTAGAACCTGAAATAATGATGCATAAAGAATAGATGCTGAAAGTCTCCTCCACATCTGTCTAGTGCATACAATGTTTGGTGAAGTGCTGTTCCTCCTGGAACATTTTGTCTTGTCAGTTTTGGCAAAGAAGGAGAAAGAAATGGTCTTTCAACAAAACATTGCTATAGTAGGAAGGATCTAGTATCACTCAGAGAGCAAGGCAGCAACATCTCTAGGGCAAAACTGATATGAAATCAGACTTTGCATTGATGTGGCTTTATGCTTCCTGAAAATCACAAACCTTTACTGTATATGTGCTTTGCTTCCTTCAGGTTGAAGAAAAAGAAAGATGTGTTAAAGAGTTTATTTTCTTGACACAGCTACAAGGTAAGTGGCTGAAAGAAATGTACAGTACTGTGTAAAAATATTGTGGAAAAAAATTCTCTTTAGACTGCCTTGTATTTCAACACTGGAACTAAAAGTTGGCTAGGGGACTGTTGAAATAATTCTGGTTTTCTACCATGATCTGGTGTGTTGGGGAGTGTTTAGTAAAACACAGCTGGGTCAGTGTCAGATGATTTACAGTTGGCATGTAATG